GAAGTGCTGGGCTGGAGATGTTTATGTAGGGGGATAGAGGCTAGGTAAGAAGGGTCCCGGCACTGGTAAAAAAGGTGAAACCCACTTGTAGGCAGTGTGTATGGCACTGAGAAAGTTGTAGGTCAGGACTAATTTTCAAGTGATTTCTTTCTTTTTCTTTTCTTTTCTTTTTTTTTTTTTTCTTTTTTTTGTTGGTCATGGGACTTGAACTCTGGCCCTGGACACTGTCCCTCAGCTCTTCAGCTCAAGGTGAGCTCTCTACCACTTGAGCTACAGAGTCACTTCCGGTTTTCTGGTGGTTAACTGGAGATAAGAGTCTCACAGACTTTCCTGCCCAGGCTGGCTTTGAACTGTAATCCTCAGATCTCAGCCTCCTGAGTAGCTAGGATTATAGGTGTGAGCCACCAGGGCCTGGCTACAAATCACTTCTTTCCTTAGGAATCACTGCAGAGGGGTCTGGAGAGAGGCCAGAGGTCTAGGGGCTCAGTCACTGGAGGGAAATAATTCAGCTGAGCAATGAGAGGATTTAGATGTCTCTCATTCATAGAGGGTGGAGCCCCGCAGAACAAAGTGTACTTAAGGATAAAAACCTAGGAGGAGGTAATCACATTGTAAGATGAGTCAACACGGTTTAGCAAGATAGCACACAATTAAGGGCCTTAAAGGAAAGAACATATCTGGCAGACTTAAATAGTAAGCACAGAATTCTAGAGCAGCACTAGAAAAAGCAGGTAGATCCATTGACAGGCCAGGAAGCGGGGACTCCAAGCAGGTTCGCAGGTGGCCAGTCGCCTTCCTACCTGCTGAAGTTGCAATTCCACTTTCTTCAAGTCTAAGTGAAGTAAGTGGCCCACAAAGGGCAGGCGCCTGGGCCCTGGTGGGTAGTGTTTTGGTCGCCGGCTCTTGAGGAAGTCAGCAAGGAACAGAAAGACCACGGCCCCCAGCAGGAGAGTCCGCAGATGGAGAGTTGCCCAGAAGGCAGCCACCAGGGAGCCCAGGCCCGCAAACATGGCTGTGAAGTCCACAGGCTCCTCTGGTGTCTGACTGGTCACCACCCAGGAGCTCCTAACTTTTCCTCTTCCACTCCTGGCCACGCCCTCTCTATACTTAGCTTCTCTCCACCCCACCCCACCTCTCACAGCCAAGCTCCTCTGGCCTTGCAGGGTCCATGTCCTCCTGCCACTCCAGTTGGTGCTGTCTGCAGGGCAGCCTCCTCCCATTTGTCCTCAAGCAGGAGTCTCCACTCCACCATGCACTGCATGGGCCTGCTCTGGCCTTTCCCTAGCGCCCCAGGACTCTCTGAACCTTCTCTTTTTCTTTCTCCTCCAAGGTCCTCCTCTCCCAACAGCATCCTGTCTACCTCTCTGCTTACCAGCTCAGCCCTGTATTTTGTATCCCCAGGAAGAACCCACACTGAGCCCCAAAACGCCAACTAAGAGATTGTTTTGATCGAATTGACCGTCCATCTTTCTCCCCAACATTGTGGTGTATGACATAGGACATAAGATTTCCAGACATCTCAGATATTTCAGTTGCTTTTTTCCAATCATCATCTTGCTCAGAGATTGCAGTCTGCCTGGTGACAACAGATTTTTACATCAATCAACCTCCCCTGCTGCCCCCCCCACCCAATTACACATCTCAGGAAAACAGAGGTTAAATCTGGAGGGCAGCATACAGCTACAAGCCCAATACTTAGGAGATGAAGGTAGGAGGATTTCAAGTTCTACACCATCCAGAGCTCTTAACAATATTCTTACAAACAAAGAAACATTATTTTTTTAAAGAAAAGAAAAAATTGGGAAACAGGTTCAATATTAAGTAGTATATGGTAGTGAATTTGTGGGCAGAAACATCCCAAGAGGGGCTGTGATTCGAAGTTTTTTTTCAAGATTACAGAGCATTGCATTAAAGTCTCCACCAGGCTTCAGGGTCTTTACTAAGGAAGCAGCTCCTCAGAGAATATCAGCATCACATTGCGTAGTTACACAGACCGGAGCTGTGAATAAGTCTCAATGCAGTGTGGGAAACTTTGCGACACTTAAGTGGCACACAATATAACACAGAGGATGAAGCTGTGGTTGGATTGGACTCTTAATAAGGCTGGGGTTACTTATGAGTAGTATCTGTTCTTTACACATGATTAGTTCATTCATTTGGGCTTATGATTTTTTGTTTGGGAAATGCTGCTAATTTGTCTATAAGTATTCTATATCTATGCAGATTAGCTATACTTAAGTCAGTGTTGGTGATTTTCAGTGTGAATGATTTTCTTTTTTTAAAGACCTGTATCATTTCCTCTGTTATGTTGTTTTAAAAATATATTAATTCATTGTAATTCTTTTTCTCTAAAGAAGGTCATTAGTGCTGTCACCCCTATATTCCTTATCTTTGAACTCTCTTGTACTTTGAGTTTCTATTCGGTTTACCTAAAGTTTTCCAAATTTAATATTTTTTTCAAAGAATTAACTTTTGGGATTCCATGTGTATTTTTTTCATTTCTCCATTTCATTTATTTCTTATTGAATTACTTATTTTTATTCATTTGTATAATTTCCTTTCTTTCATGAACTTCTTAAATGTAAAATGATAGACAATCTTTTTAAATGTATATGCTTAAGATAATATGTTTAAATAATGTTAGTTGATTTCCACAAGTTTTAATATATTGTGCTTTTATTTTAATCATCTCAGTGTGTTTTCTAGCATACTTAATGATTTTTCTCTGACTCACTGGTAGTTTTGGCCTTTTTCTTTTTGTCAGTCATGGGGCTTGAACTCTGGGCCTGGGCACTGTCCCTCAGCTCTTCAGCTAGCACTCTACCACTTGAGCTACAGCGCCATTTCCAGTTTTCTGGTGGTTTATTGGAGATAAGAGTCTCACGTACTTTCCTGCCCAGGCTGGCTTTGAACCTCTATCCTTAGATCTCAGCCTCCTGAGTAGCTAGGATTATAGGCATGAGCCACTGGTGCCCAGCCCTTGATATTTCTTATTTACTTCTAAATTATTATTTAGGATCTTTTCATTGTTTAGTAGTTAACAAGGGATGAAAGACACCCATTTGTGTGTTTTATAGATAGGCAGTATACCAATAAATTTTGTTTTTGTTTTTCTGTGAGTGTCTTCATTTCCTTAGTGTTCTTTTTTTTTTTCTCTTCCTTTTGTTTTTATTATGAAAATACTGTACAGAGGGGTTACACTTACATGGACAAGGTAATGAGTACATTTCTTATCAAGCATTGTTGCCTTCTCCTTTGTTTCCCCTTCCCATCCCTTCCCATCTCCCCCCCCCCCACACACACATACCCCCTCCTCCCAGCCAACGTTGTAAAGTTTGTTTTTCGACATAACAACTTGTACATCTCATTGTTGCAATGGGTCCACCTGTACCCCTATTTAAACGATTTGTTTTTGCCCTTCCCCTCCACAGATAGTTATACTAACATCAAATACAGTGAAAGCAGGGGTTATACCGTGGGGAAGGGACAACAAAAAAATCATCTTATAAATATGTTCGAAACAATCGCAAGAAAGAAAAACCATTCAAGTGTTATGAGCCCTAGCCTTGAGCTGAAGAGCTCAGGGACAGTGCCTAGGCCCAGAGTTCAAGCCCCATGACCAACCAACCAACCAACCAACCAACCAACCAACCAACCAACAAAAACACATGTCCCTTGTGTTCTTATAGAATAGATTTTCTGGGTATAGGACTGTTAGATGCCTACATTGTTTGAACACTTACAATATGTCATCCCACTGTGTAATAGTTTCAAGTGAGCATCCAGCTGACAATCCTAACACATTTCTTTCTTCATGTTTTCAATATCTTCTAATTGTCTTTGGATTTTGACATTGATGCTGGTGTATCTAAGGGAAGATCTCTTTAAATTTATCCTAGATGTAATTTGTGGACATTGCATCTGCTGATTAATACTTTGCATTAAATGTGGCTATTTGGGACCCATTGTTTCCTGAAATAAAATCTTTCAGCTTTCTATCCAGCTTTCTTTCTTTCTTTTTTTCCTGTTGGTCATGGGGCTTGAAATCTGGGCCTGGGTGCTGTCTCTCAGCTCTTCAGCTCAAAGCAAGCACTCTACCACTTGAGCCACAGCATCACTTCCAGTTTTCTGAGTGGTTTATTGGAGATAAGAGTCTCATGGAGTTTCCTGTCCAGGCTGGCTTTAACTGAGATCCTCAGAGCTCAGACTCCTGTGTAGTTAGGATTACAGGCGTGAGTTTATCCAGCCTTCTTATTGTTTCCTCTCATGCATTTCTAACACATTTAATGACTTCCCACAGTCTCAAAAAGCTCAGCATGGAGCTGGAAAGGTGGCTTAGTGGTAGAGCACTTGCCTTTCATGCCTGAGGCCCTGGATGCGATTTCTCAGCACCACATAAGCAAAAAGCAAAAGACCAGAAGTGGCGCTGTGGCTCAAGTGGTAGAGCACTAGCCTTGAGCTGAAGAGCTGAGGGACAACGCCCAGGCCCAGAGTTCAGGCCCCACGACCGGACCCCTCCCCCCCCCCAAAAAAAAAGCTCAGCACATTTTATTTTCATTTTTATTTCCTTTTGTTCCATAGACTACATGAATTCATCAATCAATCTTGAAGTTTACATTCTTCCTTCTGCCGGTTCAAACACATTGCTAAGTCCTTCAAGTAAGATAGAAATTTCTGTTATCACATTTTCAACTCTAAAACTTCTAGTTATTTGCTTTTGACAATAGTTTCTACTCTCTCATTATGATTTTCCATTCAGTGAGAAATCATCCTGACACTTTCTATCCTATAGGCAAGGTTTCTTACAGTTCTTTAAGCATATATATTAAAAGCTTCTATCCAATGACTGGGGTTCTCCAGGAGCAGTTTGTAATAACTGCTTTTTCTTAACCTTATGAATGAATTATGGTTTTCCTTTCATTGCATGGTTCATAAGTTTTGTTGAGAATTCTGGAATTTTAAATGATATGTCAAACTCTAGAAATGAGACACAGCGTACATTAACTTAAGAGCTATTATTTTATTGCTTCATGTTTAGAGACTTTAGACTAAGTTTGTAAAAAAAAAAAAAAAGTCCCATTTTTCATCACAATCAATCACTGGATTCTCTGCTCTGCTGGCATACTGTTCCATGGGTTTGAGTCCATTTTTATCACATGCATTGAACTCTTTTATCATGCATTCTCTCCCAAAATACAAGGTGTAGGTTGGCTTATACCATTTAATCTGCAACAGAAAGCTCATTGCTCTATCTTATCCTACAATTCCTACTTAAACCTTCAAGGTCATCTACAAGTGAGAGACGAAGGCATTTTAGATCTTTTCCAGTCCATGCATGTGTATGGCCTTCCAGATTCTTAAAAATATGTTGGAGTTTGGAAGCTTCACTGGGCATCCCAGTCAACATCCAGATCATGTGCGCACAGCTCTGAGACATAGGAGAGGCCTTTTGGCAAACTCTGGATTTTCTCAAAGTGCCATGTCTGACTCACTGATTCCTTTTCAGCATGTTCACTCGAGCTGTCTGAACACCTACACACAAATACATGTCTATGCAAGAAAGCATAGCTTAGTTTTATGATGTGATTATGGCTTATAAACCACTTTAAATCTAATATATCCCCTGATTCTTGTAAAAAAAACCAAAACTTTGTTTCGTCAAGAAATCACGATTCTCCTGTCACCTCAGAGATTTAAAGATAAAACACAGACCACATAAATGATTTGCACAAAGCTGATAGGGAAACAATAGTAGTGTGGAAAATGAGACTCTGTATACTTTGACCCAATTCCTCTTATCTTTCTTCTAACCAAGCTTCATTTTCTCCCTTTATATCTGATTGGGCACACACCATTTTTTCTTGGTCTCCTTTCAATTTCCTTCTCCTACAATCTCATGGTCTAGGGATGGCACAGATGCGGTGGCTCACTGGGGAAAGGGTGAGGCCAGGTCTGAACTTCAGGCTTAGTTTCTCATTCTTTGGAGGTCTGAATGTAAATTTTTGCACAAGGGAAGTGAAGAAGATAAAGAGCTCAGACCTAGCTAATTGTTCTCCAAGGCAAACTCGCTTTCCTGAAAAAAAAAACAAAACAAAGAAAGATGAGTCATTTTTACAGCTACTATTGGAGCCTTCAGGGACTTAGCAAAAATTCTTTTTCTGCCTTTTACCATTTTCTTTGCTGTTCAGTGTGTGGTATGAGTGACCATATATCCATCTTGAAAGCTCCTAGACTCAGGTCTCTGATTTAGAAATCTGGTTATTCATTATCTTTCATTTTGCAAGGTCTCAGGGTCACAGGTGAAATTGCCTGTGGCAAATTGCCTGTGATCCCAACACAGTCTTGAATATGGAGCCTCCTCCTCTCAGCTCATACCCAGAACTGCCTTCATCACATCCCGCTTTGTTACATATGCAGATATGTGGACAGAAGGAAAGAGATACTGCTTAGCTTGGTCAATTTCCCTACCATGTGTCCCTGTTTAAAATACAAGTTATTTTTTATACTGCTTGGGATATATGTCTAGCTCTGTCATTTCTCTTGGTTTTATGCTGATCTTACAGTTGGAACTTCAGTCACTTCACTGGAATGCTTGAATGCCTACCCACTTTCACTGCACCTTGGAGTATGTACTTATTATACTTTCATTTTTACCAGGGCTCGCAGTGAACTGTTTGCCTTGAGACTTAATGCAGGCTTCAGAGTTAGACTTTTCTAGAACAAGATATATGTTGGTTATTCCTGCAGCTCAGACAAATGCATATTTCACTCTGAAATGAATTTAAGGTTTTGGGAGATAGTGGCAGAAAGCTACCCTTAGAAAGTTCAAGAAAGCATGTTGCAAAGTAGTTGAATGTTAAAAATAAGAATGTGGTAGAAAACCCAGACAGCAGTGTTGACCATTTCTTGATGCAGTGAATTTTTTTTTTTAGGTTCAGTTTTACTGTTCAATAAAATTGGTTCTATTCTTCCTCGACTTCTTTAGGATTTCCAAGGTAATTGCTTTCCATCTCTGCATTTAATTCTTTTCCATCAGAAAGAGAGATGACAGCAAAAGGGCTCCAATTTCCACCTTGCCCCAGGTAATGTTATTTGTGGTATGATTTCAGAGCTAACCCCCAAACCCCATCAGATGTAGGATTTTCTCCTTCCCTTGAACTGGGGCTGGACTTATGACTTGAACTGGCCACAAGAAGACAGTGGAAGTCATGATGTGCCAGTTCCAAGTTTGGACATCAAGAGACCATGGAAACAGCCAGGCTGGCTTGCTAGAGGATGAGAGTAAATGTGAAAAGAGTATCACTTGTTCAGCTTAGGTCATCCTCGAATAGCTTCCAGTGAACTGGCCCTCTATAGAAGACAGGTAGGATCAGTAAAGCTGCATATCTGACATTCATGCTTGTGTGAAATAATGCATGCTTCTTAAATAATACTGTTTGGGACTATGTGTAATGCAGCAATGTAGTATCAACATATATAGTATGCACTCTGTGACTTTAAAGGGGGCCTTAAAGAGGTAGGCAGGTCTGGAATTGTCATGGGGAGAGAGAATTAAACTAGGAGTATAAAAATTCGAGATGTACACACCCTGGTCTACCAATCCATGACATTCGATAGAAACAACTTTGTCTTATTGAGTCAGCTTACATGAAGAAAGAAGAATACAAACCTTTTTCTCTGTCATTATTAACCACAGGGTGCCCAGAGAAAAGTGTGAGATTATCTGAGGCAATTGAATCTGAATTTGATTTTGTGAAGATTCCCCTCACCAAAAATGCAAGAGACAGAAGGTAAAAGCATTTCTAGGGTTTCAGTATTTCACAACCTAATGCAAGAATCAAGAGGAGGAGTAGTAATTGAAGTATATTGAAATATATCTGAAACTTTAGGCTGTAAATACAAAACTTGAAATTGTTGTCAGTGCAAAACTGGCGCAAGTTCCTTCAACTTCTATCAGCCTTCTGATTAGAATGAGTTGTGCAACAGGAACCCAGAGATAACTTAGAAAAAGATGAGGAAAGAAAAAGAACATATAAATAACCAGGACAGCCAAGCACAGGGTCAAACTCCATACAGTCAAATTGCAGTTCCTCCCCGGCCTGAGCCTAACATTCATTTGCAGCAAATGAGACTGCTTCATAAAAGTAAGGTATAATTTAAATTCTAGATAAGTACATCATCATCAGTCCCACTGTGAGGGTTCCAGATAAGTTTTATTTATCACAGAGACAGTGCCAGGTAGACGATAAGCTGTAGCTTTTGATACATTTGGTTACTATGGAGTCTTAGCAATGTTACATAAATTTATTAGTTTACTTTCCTTTTTTGCTTACCTTAGTTTCCTTATCTCTAAAGTGGTTTTTGTAGTTTGAACCTTGTAGCGTTACATGGCTCTACATAGTCCAACTTTGATTTGATTTCTGTTTCATTGACTAATATTCTTCAAAGATGACTTCTTATCATATAATAGTTGCTTAGTAAATAGCTATGGCAGTAATGACTGTGGAAATTACTGAAAATAATCTATGCAATATGTCTAGCATAGTTTCAGGAGTAGGCAAATGCATTTTGTTATTTATTTCATGATGTTATGGCTTATGATACTCTTTCACAAACTAGATGGCTCAAAAGCATAATAGAGAGTTCACTGTTTTCACTCTACAATATGCATGTATATGTATGTATACATATGTATACACATGTAGGTAATAGAATGTTGGGTGCCAGTGGCTCATGCTTATAATCCTAGCTACTTTTGAGATCTGAGGATCATGATTTGAAGCTAGTCCAATCAGAGAAGCCATCTCCAATTAATTATTCAAACACTGGAAATGGAGCTGTAGCTGAAAGTGGTAGAACACTAACCTTGAGCAAAAAGAGCTCAGGGACAGCGCCCAGTCCCTGAGTTCAAGGCCCATGACCAAAGAAAGAGAAGGGGGAGGAGTTATATCTTTCAGGAAATAAGTACAGGTTTGAACCAAATCTAGTTCAGGTTCATTTAGAGGCAGCATTAGACATACTGCCTATTGTCCTAATGGCACATAGTGTGCCCCTATCTTTGAAGTCTCCCCAATGCCTCATTAAAAAAAAACATTAAAAATATTTAAAGTTGATAAATTTAGGGGTTGGAAGCATCACTCCGTAGTATCAGCCAATGGCAAAACCATCAGGGACCAAGTTCAAGTCCTGGACTCGGACCTAAATTTATTTTTAATATATAATCTTAAAAGCTGTAAGATTCTTTGTGAGCAACATTCAGGGTTTGGATTTCTGTTTGAAGTGTGGTGGAGAACAGACCCAAGAGGGGGAAAGTCTCCATGAGAGGAAAGAAGGAAGCTTTGAAAATGAGCCTGGTCGGAAGCCATGCTGGACTCCAACTACAGCAAGATGAAATTTCCCTGGGCAGGGTCATGGGATGATATGCAAGTAAAGCAGAGGACTGCAAGAAGAAGAGGGGAGGATGTGGGTAGAACTCTACTGCCTCACTCCTGTTCATCACAACTCACCTATTCCAAAAGGGAGAAAAGATTCCTTCTTCTTAAACTGTCCGTTCTCCAGAAAATGCTCTGGATTGAAGGTGTCTGGGGTGGCCCACTCTTTGGGGTCCTTGTGTAGTGCAGTCAAATTGGTTAGGATCATGGTCCCCTGGAAAAGGAAGCACAACATTGGATACCTTGGAACTCATACAAGTAGAGGGGCAGTGGTCCTCAGGCTTTGTTGTCCAGGATTGCTCATATCCTGAATTCCTCACATGTATCTGCTATCAGCTGATCCCAATACCACAAACTCTCTGTTTTGTACAGGACCATGTAGAAAGAATGTGACAGGTGGTCAGTCCATATGTGATCAAAATCAGTTATGCTGCTTGTGATATGAGACCCATTGCAGTTAGACAATGGCTGCTTCTCCATCCCTTCTCCAAGAGTTGAGGATGCTTTACCTAATACCATCACAAGCTTCCCGAAAGAAACAGATGCCCAGGGAAACAAACATTGATGAATGCAAATTGCCTGGGGTGAGCAGAGTCAAGCTTTTCCTGCCACTGCCTCGTAAAGCAGTCGTTCTTTACATAAGGCTGGTCCTCCTTTTTATCTCTCTGGATTTCATCACCTAGATTCTTCCCATTGCTACCTTAGTTCAGGCACCTTGCTCTCCTAGAACTTCCGCTTATGTCCTCATCCTCTACTTCACATGCTGAGGACAAAGTTCTATGAATGGTATTTAATTATGTTGCCTTCCCTTCCATTTTGCAATGTCTTCCCTCCACTCTGAATGGAAAAATGTCTCTTTACCTGAGACACCTGTGCCATTCTTCCTACTGTCCAAGCTCCTGCTATGGTTGGATTAACAAAAAATAATAACCATCATTATGAATATGAAGCTCCACATGTTTAATGTCATTTCACCCCTCCATAGATCCAGTGAGGTGGATTTAAATGCCTTTTGGAGATGAAGTTCAGGCTGTTAAAGGTTGAGTAATGTCCTCAGAATCACAGTGTGATTAAACTGTCAGGTTGAACCATCACTGGAAAAACATGTTGAGTCAAAGCCATGGCTCCTAGCCTGCATTTCATATAGTCAACTAGATTTCTCAGTGCCCTGAATGGTTATTAAAATAGAAGCAAAATTTTTTCAGTAGGAGTTTTGTAAAGGAGAGGTGGATCACTGGAATTAAATGAATGGTAAACACAAACTAAAGAAAGCAAAAGCAGCTGAAGAATTGCTTCCCCCCCACACACTCACCCCCGCCCCCAGCTTCCAGCCCAAGAGGCTCAGTGAGTAAGGCAACAGGAAGTGCAGCAGAGGCTTCCCTAGCGCTGAAGTTGTCACCAAGCAGTCTGCTGGGTTTGCTCTTCTGCTTTTAGCTCTGGAGACTGTCCCAAAGAATGCCATCCAGAGGGTGTTAAACAACTAGACCCATACAGGCTGACCAAGAAGATCAGAAACAAGGGAAGATAATGCAATTTTACACTTTGGATAAAGATACTAGACAACCCGTGCTCTCTACAGAGATCTAGAGGACACTAGGGCACCTGTGAGAGCTCTCTATGGAAATCTTAAGAGTCGTGTCTGTCAGGGATCTGTGAAGTGTGGAAATATTCCCATTCGTGGGGTTATTTAAAGGAATGTAAAGTCTTTAGCTTCCCTTAAGTGTGGTTAGGCTAAAGAGTGGAATAAGAAGGTCATTATGGCCTTGATCATACTAGCATCTTATCTTGCTCAGGATTTGGTGCAGCTCAACTGACTGAGTATTTACCTAGCAAGTACAAGGTCCTGGACTCCCGCAGTATTGTAAGGAGGGAAAATACAAAACAACAACAACCACACACACACACACACACACACACACACACACACACACACACACACAAACACACGCACAGCTTCTTCAGGAAATTTGATAGGGAACAATGCAGAAAAATGGAAAGGAAATTCATTTTAAACTTAAAGTAAGACAGGTTTTGTTTTGTTTTTTGCGAAAGGACCAGGAACTCTTTTATTTGCCAAGAGCCATTTTCCATGTTTATGTTTGATAGCACTGATGCTCATGTTGTTATGAAACAATGCTCCTATATTTAGTTTAGTTCAAGTCTCATCCGAGGTTGCTTTGGCAGAGTCAGATCAATGATTTTTGTGGGCCACTGGAGTAGACATTCCCCAGTTCTTAGCTTGTGAAGGATAGACAGGTCTGGTTCTGTATCTTTAATCCCCTGAATTTGAGGTGGAGAGCTCTCATGCAAGCTTAACTTACCTGAGCCACAAATTCCTGGTCAATAAGATAGGAATCATAATCTTTGTAAAAACAAACAAATAAGCAACTAAGTAAGGCAATTTATATGAGGCTAGTAGTCTACAGTGCAAAATGATTACTTAAGGAGTATATGCTCCTTTCTCACCATTTCCAATAATTAATAACACAGAGCTTAAACCAGTTTCCTTTGTGAGAAGAAAGTGCCCACCATGGGCACTGCTTTAAGAGCTGGAAAACTCCCCGTGGCAACTTTATAGTAGAACCACTGTCATCAGTGTGTCATTAGACCCAGCAGGTCTCCAATGCAGAAGATCCTACACAGAAATTGGCAGTACTCTCTGGTTCTGAGAGATGCTCTAGCTGTCAAAGAAAAGTGTTTTACATGGCAAAATGTGATGGAATGAATGGTTGACTGCTGTCTGCTAAAGGAGAGTCACAGTGCACATTAGCATAGTAACAATGCTAAGAAGTCACATAGAAAAAAAAACTAAAGAAAGAAAATGGAAAAAAAAGGAAAAAAGAAACAAATCCAGGCTTCCTCTAAGCATATTTGGCCCAGGAATATTCCCTTGTCCTTTTCACATAATAGTTAAACATGTGGCATACAAGAGCAGATAAAACAATCACACCCCTCATTTAAGTGATTTCTTGGAACACAAAATACCTGTCACTTTTCAGTTTCAGGTTCATTTTGATGAACTCACACAGAATTAGGATCTGACCCTGGTAGTGCCTGGTTACCTTCGGCAGGTGGTACCCGGCCAATGTGGTATCAGTTGTCACTGCCCTGGGCACATTCAAGGGGATTATGTTCCCCATTCTCTGTATCTCGTGGATGACAGCGTAAGTGTAGGGCAGGGATTCTCGGTCTGCCAAGCTTGGCTGCTTCCCCCGGCTAACCATTCTGTCAATCTCTGCCTGTACTTTCTCTGGAAGAGAATAGGAAGTTCTGTTACTTTTACAATTTTTATTTTGGTCATTTGGTCTTGAACTCTGGGCCTGGGCACTGTTCCTCAGCTCTTCAGCTCAAGGCTAGTGCTCTACCACTTGAGCCACAATGCCACTTCTGGTTTTCCAAAGGTTTATTGGAAATAAGACTTTCCTGCCTAGTCTGGCTTTGAACTGTGATCCACAGATCTCAGCCTCCTGAGTAACTAGGATTACAGGAGTGAGCCACCAGCACCTGGCTTCTTTTACAATTTTATTCTTTCTTTCTAGAGTGGTCTTCTAGATCTCACTAATGGTACTTCAAAAACAAGGTGACCAGATTGAAAATAAACAAAATGATCCCTAACCCACTCATTGGCTTATTAAAAAAAAGTGTCACATCTTTCACTTTCCTAAGCAAATGAAGTAACAAGGAATGAAGGCTAAGGAATGAAGTAACAAGGATAAGCATGGCTAAGCTCACAGTAATAGCTTATCTTGTTTGAGCTGCTATATCAAAATGCCTTGCACCCAGTGGCTTGTAAATAGCACAAACGTGTAATTCTGGAGCTTGTGAAGTCCTGTCTCAATGCACCAGCAGATGTGGTGTCTGGTGAGGACCCACAGTCTGCCTCACAGATGACCCCTCCTGCTGTGTCCTTACATGTGCAAGGAACAAAGCAGCAATCTGATACCACCTCAGTAAGATCACCGATCCTCTCTTATGAGGATTAATCATATCCCAAAGACATCACCTCCGAATGCCCTCTTGTAATCCTAGCGACATAGAAGGCTGAGACTTGGAGGATTGTGGTTCATAGTCAACCTGGGAAGACTAGTGCATGAAATTCCATCTCCATTTTACTAGCAAAAAAGTCTTGCTGAAGTTAAAATGTGTTTGTGACTTCAACTAATATCACTATCCCACAATACTGTGAAATTTGTGAAATTTATGTAATCACTTAATCTCAATAAGAAAAGAAAAAAGAAACAACTAAGAATCACTATTCAAAGCTAACTCAAGACTCTTATCTTTAATTAACCACCAAAAGTCCAGAAGTGAAGCTGTAGTTCAAGTACTAGAGTGCTAGCTTTGGACAGCTCGGGGACAGCTCCCAGGCCCTGAGTTCAAGCCCCTCTGTACTAACAGAAAAAAATCATCCAGGCTGGTCGTATGGTTCAAGTGGTAGGGCACCCACTTAGAAAGTTACCAAACCCTAACTTCTACCCCCATTACGGCTAACAACAACAAAAAGGTGTCACAACAATCCTAATGTTATCATGTTTTTTTAAATAAAACTTTATTGGAACACATACACACACATCTTGCTGAATATGTGGCTCAGGTGGTAGAGCACGAGTTGTGTGGAAAAAGAGCTGAGCAAGAGTGAGGCCCTGAGTTCATAGCCCATACAAACAAACAACAAATGAAAGAAAGAAAGCTAGTTTGAAAGAAAGAAAAATAGGAAAAAAGAAGTCTCTATTCGAAAGTAGTCTATCGACAGATAGAAGAAAAGACATGAAGGGAAATAACAGATAAAATGGTTTAAATAATAAAAGGGGATGAATTTCTAATCCTCTATGCATGCCATTAATGTGAGCTCAGAGTTGCCTTTCCTTGACCTATTTGGCAAGCTGGCATCCAGTGGGAGCAGTTCCCCAGTTAGTTTGGCTCCTTCTGCTTCCCTTTGTGCTGTTTGCCTCCAGTCAGAGAGTGAGTTTTAGGGGTGAGCTGGTGGTCATTACTTTTCGGAACTGGACTGGTTAGGGCAGATTGTAAACAGACTGCTAGACTAATCTCCAGAGACTCTTGAGTGTCTGGTTCTGGGACAAGGACACACAGCTGCAGTGGAATGCTTTGTGATTCTCTCCTTCTGGTCCTTCTCTCTCAGAGCTTTGCATGAATATACTTCCACTCCTCTCAACAAACTAGAGTCACTTTTCTCCAAATGGAATTACCAAGTCTCTGAGTCAGACTTTTCTCTGCAGCTCGCCAAGTTTTCCTGGTGAAACAAGCTCTTGGTGAACAAGCACTAGGCAACCTTGCAGGATATTCCCAGAGACAGGTGACCACAGAATGTTGATGTTTTATGATCTGTGCTGCTATTATTCTGACTCAAAGTAATTTCCCAACTCTATCCTGTGATCAAATAGGGTGAGGATGAGAGAATCTTCACCATGTATATAGACTAAGTGGTCTCTAAAACCCTGCCTGGCTCCTGCTCAGTATTTAACACAGCGTTCTCTTTTTAGTCTTTCTTTCTACTCCCTCTGTCTGGACAACACTTGGGCCAGAACACTTACAGGATTTTGTTGTTCTTTTTCCATTCTGTCCATTCAACTCTGGGTTCTGATTTCTTTTTAAATAAGACTATAGACAATGGAAACTTCAGTGTGTGTTTTCCAAGGCTTCCTTGCCTTTTACTCAACCAGGCTGCGCTCCTGCCTGCAAGAGCTGTTCTTCTATTTTTAATTAAGCTGTAGACTATTTTCTAATGAATATAAAGATAGTAAAATAATTGTGAAAAGAATAAAAATCACTTGGCTGTAAAATGGTTATTATACTGGATATAGGCAAACAAATATTCAGTAAGCAGATTATGAGTCACATTTGTTTCATAGTGAATGGGTCTCGTGGTAGAAAATAGGCATATTAAGTCATTAGGAGCTCATACTTGATTATTAAGTCCTCTTCCCAAATGTTGGGTATATAGGTGTCTTCTACTATTCCTAGCTTATATTAATCATTTTTAGTGTACAGTTCAGCAAAACAAATCACCAGAACTTTTTGGTCATATAAAGCTGAAACCCCATTAAATAATTCTTTGCTTTTTCCTTCCCTAGCATGTAGCCACTAACATTTTACCTTCTGTCTAAGTAAATCTGACTGTTCTAGATTATTCATTTCAGTGGACTATTACAAGAATACTTCTTATGTGATTGGTGTATTTAACTAGTATATATCTTCAAAATTGATCCATGCTATAGCCATGAATGGGGGTTTGATTATTTAGGGCTTAATGTCAGAATTCCATTTCATGTGTATTGCATATTTTGTTTATGAATTTATAGTAAATTAATACATGGACTGTGTTGGTTACTGTTAACAGGAGTGTGAACTCCTAATACTTTAATCCATTCACAATAGAGAGCCTTAGCTCCAGAAGCCAATCTGTATTGAACTCATTATCTTCTAAAGTTAAAAAAAAATCTTAGGTAGAAATGCATTTTAAAAACAACCCAAGATGAGGGTCTGGGAAGATGGCTCAGTGGTAGAGCTTGCCTTGAATGCATGAGGCCCTGGGTTCAATTCCTCAGCACCACATAAGCAAAAAGAAAAAAGCTGGAAGTGGCGCTGTGGCTCAAGTGGTAAAGTGCTAGCTTTGAGCTGAAGAGCTGAGGGACAGCGCCCAGGCCCAGAGTTCAAGCCCCACAACCGGACCCCCCAAAAAAACAACAACCCAAGATGAATATACATAAATATATATACATAAAAACATTTATGTTATGATTCAATATATGAAAGAAGGTATCATGGGAAAAATTTATCTTTAGTACCCAAGAAGCACTCTGATCTTTTCTATTCTATTTTTAGCCTAGGGAAAAATAGTTGGTCTTGATAAACTAAACTACTGTATGCCTCATTAATAAACTGCTTGACACATTTTGAAAAACACTACAATGACCTTTCCCCTCCCTAGCTCTACTTGCTCAAAAGGATCCAGAATCCAGAAGCAGACATATGTTGGGAATGGCTGTTCTCTTTGAAGGGATGATAGTCTATGGGGGAAGATATAAAAATAAAATGCAATTTACATGGCTTGGGGTACATTAGGGAATCTCTGGAGAAGAAAATGCAAATGAATTCCTAGCTAGCAATTTGCTGGAGGAGTGTTAAAGTGTCTTAGAGGGGTAATATTTGAGCAGATTCTCTTAAAATAGATAACGGGTTTACAATATGGAGTAATTTGAAATATAATTTTATCAAAGTCACTCTGTAGGGAAAGGGATGTTGATGTTCATTACAAAGGTAGAAAGGACATTGTTAGGTCCACCCCAGAAAAATGGCTCCTTCTCCTGTTTTCACTCCATGTGAAACCGCAAGAAGACTTCTCCCACTTTGTTCTCCATGCAAGACTACAAGTGCTCCCCCCTAGAAGTCCCTGCCCAGCACCTGTAACCCAGGTACCTGGGGTACCTGGGGGCAGTGGAGGTCCCCCAGGCTCTGAGGTCACTTCCTCATCCACTCCAGTTACAACTCCTTCTCATCTTCCCCTATATAATCTCTCCCCACTGTAAGTTCTCTCTCTGCATGAGAGATAATGGTACAGGCCAGTGATTTGGTTCTCCTAAGGAACGCTCTTCTGCCTGATCCCCATGGAAGTCTTCTTTCTCTGAGCCTTACAGACATATCAGAGTGTATCATGTACCAGACTAAGAGGACTGAACAACATCTAGGGGGAAATGGGAAGATACTACTAAAATGAAAGGAAAAGCAACACTAGCTTTTCATATGAATGTGTAACTCTTCATGGGGATCTGTTTACAAAGTTAATTCATTTCACTCTTCCCTTCTTTGACCTTGGGGTTCTTGCAGGTAGGGAATCTCAAATTCGTAGCTGCAGAACTGATCACCATCTTCACAGATCATCTGAAGAACGTGCCCATTATCAAGTGTATACCACCTCATGGCTATTTTACCTACATTTCCTTGCTATCATGCTAGCCTCTGGCCCCCATCTGAGCCATGTGTTTCATGAGCTCCATTCTTTGCTGGTCTAGGTACACTGGTTACCTGCTCACCTTGGATTTCTGGGTTTAGGGCCATGTACAGCAGACCCCATCGCAATGTTGTAGAAGTTGTTTCAGTTCCAGCCAAGAAAAGATCCAGTGTACAGCAGATGAGATTTTCCTCATGGAAACTTGTAGTATTCTTGTCTGGGTGCTACAAAGTACAGTATGCATTGGTTTATTCAGAGCATTGGTATTTTCTACAACATACAAGGGCTTTTACCCTATGGCAAGAATTTGGAAGAAAAGGTGTGCAGGAGAAACCAGTTTGTATTCCTCAAGAAGGAGCAATATACTGGAGCTGTGTCCTGCCCCACTGCTAGGGGCCCACAGCCAGCTCCAAGCACTCGAGTGGATGAAAACTAAACCAATTCTTAAGCTTGTAGTTTGAGAGAAAAATTTCATTAGAGAGGCAGGAAAATAGGATGTGAATGAGACAAACATGGCATCCAATATCAAGCATGTCTGTTATTAGGCTACATTATGTGAGATGGAAAAAAGAACACTTGGAAAATAATGAATATATATATGTATTGATATCCATAGTGAGTAAGAAGCAATATAACCTTTCTATCTCCTCATTCATCTTGCCCAGTTGCAACTTCTCTGTCTCCACGATTCATTGTTTTGGATTTTCCATCATCTTACCCACCTTCTTCTAGACAGCTCATTTTTGTCAACATTGTTCTTAATGTGAATGATCCCTCACCCTACACTATATGAGAAGTGAAGTTTCCTCCTCCAGAAGGAAACAATGCTTCTATTAGTATGTCAGTCACATAAAGAGAAAGAATGAAAGAAATTCACCAGCTTGTTTCCTGAAGGAGGAACTCATCATCAGAACAATCAATAACTGTGACACAAATTTAGTATGTTCATTGGCCAGGGGACTTCTGTGCTCAAAGACAACTCAGTTTGGCTGTTTTCTGGTTTATTGCTGATGACGTTGAAAAGTGTGTGCTATAGGAGCTATCGAGCACACTGAAGTCCCACTGAGACCTTTATGTGAAACTCTGGTATCTAGCTCAACTTTACTCATAGTCTTAAGTGTGGGATGAGAGAAGGCATAGATAGCTAATAGATGGCCTCAGGCTGAAGTGACAATAAAAAATGAGCACTGAGGCTCAATTGCTAATTTTTCTTATGAACAGCTCCTTTAGATGTAAGGGCTAAAACATGGGGGATGAAAAGGTAGAATTTTTATTCTCAGGGCCTTTTGCAAAGTGTAAAAAAAATCTCTTATTTTGATTTGTCTTCATATCCCAGAGTTTATGCTATCTTGCACTTCTGAAATAGTACAGATAGGTTTACTCAACGTGGTAGGATAAATCATGATCACCAAAATGTCTACATTTCAATCCCTGGAATTTGTGCATATTACTTTATGTGCATATTACTTTAGTCAAAAAAGGGACTATGCATGTATGATGAGTTTCAGGATTGTGAGATGAGAATCTCATCCTTCTAAGGCAGCAACAAGGGGGTCAAACCCAGTTAGGAAAGATGCAAAAAGAAAAATAGAGATTAGAGGAGAGAAAATACTGTACTCCTATCCTTAGAGATCTAAAAAAGAGCCACCGGCAAAGAAAAAGTAGAGTCTGGGAAAATCATGGACAAATTCATCAAAGAGCTTCCAAAATGAAGCCAATGCCTAGATTTAAATGCAAGGGAATTCATTTGAAGCTTCAGTCATCCAAAACTACTTAAGAACCAATTGGTGTTATATTATTCCAGCCTGATGGTAGTAGCGTTGCAGCAGCAATTGGAAACTGAAATCTTACTATTTCTTCTTCTTCTTCTTCTTTTATTTTTGTGCTGGTCCTGGAGTTTAAACTCAGGGTCTGGGCACACTGTCCCTGGGGTTTTTGCTCAAGGTTAGCATCCTACCACTTGAGCCACAATTTGACCACTGGCTTTTTAAATGGCTAATTGGAGGTAAGAATCTCATGATTTTCCTGCTCAGGCTGGCTTTGGACATCTATCCTTAGATATCAGCCTCCTAAGTAGTTAGGATTACAGGTGTAAGCCACCAGCATCTGGCTACTTCTTTTGTTTCTTTAAGAGTAGAACCCATGAAAGATATGTGTGCCCACCTTTGCCATTTCATTGAGGTAAGCGTCAATAAAGTCTCTTGGTTCATCAGGATTCAAATCTCTCTTGTGTTTTTCAACCTCATGAGAAATAAACAATTTCAGTTTCTCCCAGTTGCTGAAGATTTTTTGGTGTTGTCCAGGAATGAATTTCATTATTGATGGAAACATATCATAGAACTAATTGAAAAAAAAAATAAAACCATCATGGGGTAATATAGCACCACTTTTTCTATTTTCAAAGATAGTCTTTTCTTCCACTTCCTTCCAATTCTTAGCTTGAAGTCATATAGCACCATATAAAACCTGGCAATTCTCACACACTACTGTAACACTTTTCATTAGTTTTCCTTATTGAATTCATTGCACCATTATACCTTATCTTCTAATAACTTCCCAGAGGAATCATTCAATAGAGCAACCTCTAGGCTTCGGTCCTTGACTCCCAATCCCCACTGACTTTCCATTATGTTGCATTCTGACATGATTCTTTAGCCTATAAGCCATCAACAACCTCTGCAGAACTATCACTGTTACCTTGAGCATTCCAGCCATAGCAGCTTTCTATCTCTACAGCTTGTTTTCCGATTCTTCTCTGTGCATTGCATATTCTTCCAATGCAATGCTCTACTAAGGACATTGTAAAAATGTGCCTCTGCTTGTTGATCCATTTGAGCTGTTTCTCCGGTTTTGATGTTATGAATAAAACTGAGCAAAACTGAAATAAATATTTTTCTTGTCCAATTGTTCAAGTGGACACATGAATTCACTTGTCCTGGTTATATATGGACATAAAAGTTATCTGAAGATTTCAAACTGATGGTTGTCCATCAGAACTTGGCAGTATCAATCTTCTGATTTCATAAACTATAGCATTTTGAGATTAAATTTTTATACAAGTCAATATTGTACAATTCTAAAAATGTTGAGTCTGTGGAAATATCTATTCAGTTTCTTGGTCTCTTTTTCTGGAATTTGGGAGACACTTCTAGAGAGAAATTGTCCCCAAGTGCTTAGGCCATTTTTCTAGGCTTCTTTCTTTTACTAGTTCTGTGCCTAAAGCTTTCTCACTACATTCACATATATGTTTATTAATTTGTGGGTGTGTTTTTTTTAAATCCTGCTATCTTCAATATAAGATTTGGTCTCAAATTGCTCAATCTACAATTACTGAATTGTTTTATTGCTCCCATGAGGAAACAATGGTCTTCACCTTTGGAAGTTGCACAACTATGTAGAGTGCATTTAGTCATGAATCACTGTGTGCCATGATCCAATATGTATCAAATATGGCCAATCTTATTTCATCAATGTTCAGGCCCTACTAATTATAGTCACCTAAATTATAATTATGCAGACAATAGTACTCAGTAAAGTCCCTTACTTGATATAACTAATATAACTAATAAAAATATTTTTTAAATAAGAATGAAAACATTTTCTTCTCAAGGTTATTTTGCATTTCTGGTTCTTCACTCCTGGCTATGCTAGTCTACAGTTCAACAATTCCACCTTTTTTCCTGCCCTAAGAGAGCAGTTGAGAGGAAGGAAGATTCTGTGGATACCCAGATGACTTCTGGCAGTGTATTGCCATTGTGGCTGGAATGCCCAGGGTAACAGTGACGGTTCTGCAGGGGCTGTTGATGGCTTCCAGGAATGAAGAATAATGTCAGACTTGAACATCTGGAAAGCCATTGAGAATTGGGAGTCAAGGACCAAAGCCTCGAGGTTGCTCTATTGAATGATTCTTCTGGGAAGTTATTGGAGAATAGGGTATGATAGTATAATGAATTTAATCAGGAAAACTAGTGAAAATTATTATAGCAGAGTATAAGAATGGCAAAGCTTTATGTGGTGATAAATGATCTCAAGCTAAGAAGATGCCTCTGAAGGAGGTGGAGATGGGTATGTTGGGGGGAACTTGGAGAGAAAAGGCTCAAAAGCAATGGCATTAGTGTTGTTCATTTTAGACCAGCCCAGAGGCATAAAAACATATTAAGTGAAACATCAGACTTTGTATGTAGTAAACATTTTCATCTTATTTAAAAAGTGCTATAGGTGGGTTTCACATAAAATTATCTCAACTTTAAGTGAATTTATTTTAACTTGAAGAAAAACTAAAAAAGAAGTAAGAACCTATCAGAGAGTCAGCCCCAATATTCTTCTTCAACATCTGGAAAGACAAACTCCTTACCAAGCCCATTATGGAGGCCTCCAAATACACAATCTCATCCAGTAACTTCAGCATCATCTGAAATTGGCCATCTTGGTACTCAAAACGCTCCCCAAACACAATAGAGCAAATGATGTTGGAAACTGCATTGTTGATTTTGAACTGAGGGTTAAAAGGCTGTCCTAATTGTGGAAGAGAGAAGAGATCAGTCTTTGTAGGTCGCTATTTTGTTTCTATTTTCTATAGAGTCTAGTGAGGACATACTTACAGAGAGCCACCGAAGAGTCTCTGGACATGACACTTTGAACAGTGTCTGACATACCACTAGATCATCCAATGCAAGGAAAGTCAAAGTGATGATCAATTTTAAATTCAATGGTATGTTTAGTGCTTTTTTATGTACTTAATTCTAGCACTCCTTCAGAAGGTTTGTGTTTGGATGTTTATTATTTTATCTTGAAGCACAGTATTATGGCTGGACAAGGACTTTGATAGCCTGTCAGCATTAGGTCAATGAACAACAAATGGGCCACAATCTTGTAGATCTGTACTACAAAAATGCCTACCTTTCTCCTTTTCTATGTCCTCAACAAGGTGCTGGGCCTCCTCCTGAATGCGTTGTTCCAAGCTCTTCTTTCCTAAACCAAAGTTCCTTAATGTTGTCAGGGTGAACCTTCTCTGCTCTTTCCAAATCTGGCCATTGGACATGATCAGTCCTGGGAAATGAAAGTTAGCATTGTAGTATTCTGACGATTTATGTAAATATATTGCAAATGGATACTAATGTGTCATATTCCATAGTCGTGTGTATGAAAGCAGGAGGGACATTAAAGCATATGAACATTTCAGAGAAACACCTCTGCAGGTGACATGAGTGACGTCAGTGGCTTTCAATATTAGTCAATTATAGTAAGCATTTTTCATGTCCTATGAAACAGAACACAAAATTCTATAGGCATATTACCATCCCCTGAGTGCATTAGTGGTAGAAAAACTAAAGATCAGGGCATAAAAAATAAAGTAACCTTTGGAAGATCACACAGTTACTATCAACTAACCAGATGTTCAAATGCAAATCTCCCTTATTTCAAACCCATGATATTTATGTGAAGTTGAATATCAGGCAAGGAAGATCAATACTCTTAAGAAGTCAAAGAAAGATTTTTAGGAGAGGTCTTATCCCCAGAAGCCATAAGTCACTCAAGAAAGGAGGAAGGATTAATATTCCATATGAGCATGCCACACAGGGAGAGGTGAACATCCTGCTGTGCTCAGATCGTTGTTTGATTCCCAGCACAAGTAGTGCTAGGTTACTTTCAATTGCTTCTCCTCCCTTTCGGTCCCCTTCCCTCCCCTCCCCTGCCCTCCTGTCCCCTTCTCTCTCCTCCTCACCCCTTCCCTCTCTTACATCTTTTCTTTCATTCTGTCACATTCTCCTACTCTCTCTTTTCCTTTTTAATTTTTGGCACTATTAGGGACTCACCACATGAGTTTGGTAGCCCATGCCCCTACTTTTTGCTTTTACGTTGTTTTTGAGGTAGGATCTCATCAACTTTTCCCATGCTGGACTTAAACTCGTAATTCTCTTACCTCCATCTGTACAGAAGCTAGGATTGCAGGCATACGTCACCATCACATTTAGAGCACTTCTGATTTCTACCTTGGCCTTTATCTTCCCAATGAAATGTTTTTTATTTTTATTTTTCAAATCGAGAGAGACTTTTCAACCTAAGATTTGGGATTTTAATTTCAACTTTTTGTTGTTGGTGGTGGTGGTCATGGGGCCTGAACTCTGGGCCTAGGCACCGTCCCTCAGCTCTTCAGCTCAAGGCTAGCGCTCTACCACTTGAGCCACAGTGCCACATCCAGCCTTTTCTGATTATGTGGTGCTGAGGAATTGAACCCAGGGTCTTATGCATGAGAGGCAAGCACTGAGCCACCCTCCCAGCCCCTGATTTCAACTTTTAAATGTGTACATTTATTTAATGATCATTTTTAGTATGTAAGTCAACCTGGAAGGTTGGAGAAAGCCTGTTTCCAAGCCCTAAAGAGAGAACATAAGAAACTAGAGAGAAAAGAGCAGCAGAAGGAAATATATCTGCATCCCTACGGGAAGAGGTCTGGAAAGGGGAAAAAAGGAGAGAGAACACACTCTATCCTAGTTACAGTTGGATGATGGTGTTACTTCATAACCAAGAACATGTGATTTCTCCCAAATCTCTGCAGAAAATCCTGCTAATCGGCTGAGGGGTGCTTTCATAGGAAACATAGCCATCCATCTTCCTTCAGCAGATGGCATTTCATAATGGGGCTGGCTTCTAAGAAGTTTGGAAATGATAGTCACAGAGACACTGTTACTTGACCATAAAAGTTTCAAGCACTGTTTCTAGTGGTCAAGAAACTTACCATTTTCACCAAAGACGCGTTCTCTGACTGCTGTGACGTAGCGGTTTATAAAGTTCTGGTCCGAGTGAATAAATATTTCTTTGATTAAGGGCATTCCAGTTATAAGAACTGAATTCAAGTTACCAAAATCCAGGCTTAAAATGTTTCCATATTTCTTCACCAACTGAAAAGGAGTACAGTAGTCAAAATTGAGTGTGTACATCTCTGTGTGTCCAGGAATGGCAGGTACACATATAAGGGAAGATCTTATCCTGGGATGTATGAGCTCATATGTGTGGGAAGGGTGCACTTTAGTTTGATATGAGTATTTCTGATGTTTTTTTTCTTCTTGCCACTAAAACACATTTAAATTTGTGTCTACATTGTAATAGATTCATTTACATATTTGATGGGTATGTGTGGAGTGTATACCATGTGTTCATAGAATAAGGCATAAGGATATATAAATATGTGGAATAAACAGGGTCTCGAACATGAAGCACCAATCAAATGTCTATTTTGCCAAGGAAATACTTGCTAGGAGTGGAAAATACAGTGAAAGGTGGAGAAGAGGTGTGGAGAAATCTCTGCAGCTGAGTTAGGTGAACTAATTGAAAGGAAAATGAGTTGAAGCTAAAGTAAAGTAGCCAAAGAGACAAAACTTTCATTTGGGAGCAGAATTTACCAGGTATTAAGTTAGATTTGAAAAAAAGGTATGAATTTGAGATGGCCCTAGGACCTCAGAATTCGTGTAAATGTTGGAACAGAGGAGAGTGAGAGGAGATTGGAGAAGACAAAAAGGATAGAGAATAGAAGAGCATGCCCCAGAATATGCACAAGTATGAACGTTTATGCAAAGATGGATTGAAGGACAGCGTATGATCAGTATTCATAGCTCTTTCTAGCCTGTCTGTCCAAGAGACGGCCCTGAGTAGATCCTTCCTCTGCTTTGATGCTTCTGGATCATATCTAGTTTCAACCACACATGGTATCAAACAAGAGAGCTCACTTCCTCCAGGTATCCATGGTCCTCTTCTCATCTCCATTCCCATTGACTCATACCTCCAACTTGCACTTGGATTCCTGAACCTAAGGGCCCATCAGAGCAGAGGAAATGAGTCCCCGCCACACACACACCATGTTCCACTCACATTAAGAAGACTAAGCCTGAATTCACTGCTTCCTTTTTGACTCAGAGTCCTCTGTTAGTTTCATGTCTCGCACATGCTGTCCTATCTTGCTAGTCAAGGCAAGGTCAAGAAGCAAAAATCCTTTCTTCTAAGAAATTTCAGATCAAGTAGAATTTTCAATTCATTTCATAAAGGCTGGATGAATTTTTACGACTCTGCCTACAGGATTTCTTGATATTTTTAGTTATGCACTAAAGAACAGATGAGAATATCAGATTAAGGTAAATGACTCCTAACAGGTAAGGCATACAACCTAGAATGTCAGATTATACTTGGAAGGCATTCAGTAGTCTGACTGAATTTCAGCCTCCCATGTTTACCACCTGTCATTTGTTTAGTGTATTTCTAGACTCACAGAACTGGTCAGCATAGATAAATGAAATGACCACCTGGAGCCCTAGCAATCCTAAAATGCACTGGATCTTCCAGCCAATTACTTTACATGGATCGTGACCCTGGAGATATCTGAGAAGATCTACGAAGGCAGAGCACAGTTTTTGATGTATGAGATTAAAAAATTTGTTTCAATTTTCTAATAGGCAAAGTGTAGCTGGGTGTTGGTGGTTCACACCTGTAATTCCAGCTATGTGAGACACTTATCTCCAAATGGTGAGATGCTTATCTCCAAGTAACCACTGAAATAGTGGTAAGTGGCACTGTGGCTCAAGTGGTAGCCTTGAGCAAGGGGAGTTTAGGGATAGCACCCAGGCTCAGAGTTCAAGCCCTAGCATGGGCCAAAAAAAAAAAAAAAATTTAAACAAGTAAAAATAAAAAAGCAAAATGTAAGGAAGATAGAGGGTTAAAAACAAGGTGGTTCAGGAAACTAAAGCAAGCTTAAAATCATAAATAATAATAGAAAAAGGAAGTGAAAGCATTAAAATGTGAGTTATGAAAGGCAAACTAAAGCAACAGGAGACAGAGGAATTAATGTTACGAGTGAAACTCCACATCATGAAGTGTTGAAAAAAATTAAAATGAAGGTTTAGAAAAATAAGTTCTTATGAAGTTCTTATGAAGATTGTGCCATAAAAACCATGTGATGAAGCATGAGAGAGATTTCACTTAGTACAAGTGGTTAAACTTAAGAAAAAAACGGAATAAAGACAAAGAGATGAAAAGACTGTAGCAATTTACCCTCCCACGAGCAGTAGATTAAAGGCTCTGTTACTCTGAGTTTACCCTAGCATTGAGCAATGTATGTGTATAGAACACATACATACTCAATTTTATTTGTACTTAAAAAATTATGATATAGCCAGGTGCTGGTGGCTCATGCCTACAATCCTAGCTACCCAGGAGGCTGAGATGTGAGGATCACGGTTCAAAGCCAGCCTGGGCAGGAAAGTCTGTGAGACTCTTATCTCCAATTAACGACCAGAAAACTGGAAGGGGTGCAGTGGCTCAAGTGGTAGAGTGTTAGCCTTGAGCTGAAAAGCTGAGGGACAATGCCCAGGCCCAGAGTTCAAGCTCCATGACTGACAAAAAAAAAAAGATACATTGTTAAGTATTTTTTGTATAGGATACTCTTTTCCCTATTGATAAGCTACTCTAGATACTGATAGATGAAAGTCTAATTGAAAGTTAAAAATATGATTTCAGGGATCATTATCTGAAATATTGAAATAAAGTAAGCAGATCCCATTGCTCATGTGTGTGTGTGGGGGGGTGTGCACATGAACCCATGAGTATGTATTCATAGCAGAAAGCACAATGAAGGATAAAATTCTGCCTCTCTTATTAAACTTCATTTCAAAATGTCTTTCTGTGTACATATTTATGCTTAAGACCAGTTATATCCAATAAAAAGGAAATCAACCAAGGGAGATGAATATAAGCTATTACAATAGTGGCCCTTAACAATTGATGAATGACAGAATCTTTAGATGATTCAGTATATGTCATGGATCTCTTCTCTAAGAAACCTTGCATATATTAACAGGATTATCCAAGACTGTGTGCATATCCTTGGAAGTCATACAACCTGATTCTGCTTCCATCTCTTTGTGTAATTGGAGACAAATTATTGAACATTTCTTTGTCTTAGTTTCCAAATATAGAAAATGGAGATGTCATTAGTTTCCATCTTTAGTTATCTTATTGTAAGTAACCATGATAATATAATAAATGCTCAACCCATCATTGTTACTGATATTAAAGGCATGGGAGCTCTGATTATAGTAAAATGAAAGTTGTGGAGGAGCAGAGACTATAGAGTGGGCTTATAGGTATAATCTACTTCATAAATCATGGCTAGCATCAAATCAACATCTGGGTTATGCAGGTTGTAATGCAGCATGTCTTTTAAGAAGGAGCATAGATGAAAAATATATTCACAAGTAATAAGTATACCAGGTATCCTGGAAGTTACTTGATATTCATTAATGGGTTTTATATTTATAATAATCTATTGATTATTGTCATTTTTTAAATGAAGTGTCAGAGATATAGCACACAGCTCCTGGCTCTTTCCAACACACAGAATGTATCATCCATTATAGAAAGGATGAGGATGTTTCATTTTTATCCTGAGTGGTGGCGTTGCCAAAGTATTAGCTGTTCACATGACTTCCTAATTTCAAAAAGCACAGTTCCCAGCCTCTTTAGGTGTAGCCAGTGGCAAGTAGGTATTGGTTATATATGTACTTTCTGAATCACAGACTAATGAGAGCTGCTCACTCACTACTTGCATTTCACTTTCTATGGATCAGAACTTCTAGAATACAGCAATGGTGGACCACCAGGGCCAAACTAGAAGGAACAGACTTTTAGTAAAACCACAAGGAGTCTGGAGACAGAATTCTGATTTCTACCATCCTCCTTCAGAAAAACAATGTGTACTGCCACCATCCAGTAGATGTGGGCAGAATTTCGATTTCTATCCTTCTATGGTAAATATGTGTTTACCTTACCCTGAAAGGTCCCTGTTTTCTGTCTCCATTTCCTTCTTCCCAAGCTGTGCTGATGATAGTGTGTAATAATCTGTAGAAGTTGTTAGAAAAAGTATAGGATTCCAGAATAGCTTTATACATGAACTTACATCTGGACAATAGCGCACAAAAGTGAGCTCTTGTAACTTCAACAAGCTACCTACTCAAGTTAATGATGAACACTAAATCTAAAGTAAAAGACTTATAATATAATATACAGTATGTCCGGATGTAGTCCATAATTACTCATCTGACCAAGAACCTGGAGAATTTATATTTGAATAAATGCCAGTCTTGGAATTCTAGCATAGTAGATATTTTGAAGTGTCTGGAGTCAGTGGTTCAAGCCTGTAATTCTACTGCAGCTACAGTTCTCAGAAGACTGAAAACTGAAGGATTGTAGTTTGAAGGCAGCCAGAACAGAAAAGTCTTCAAGATTCTCTGTCCAATTAAACTGCAAAAAGTTGGATATAGGTGCAAGAAAGCCCAGCAATGTCAGGCCCTGAGTTTACTCCCCAGTACCATTTACCTCCCCTGCAAAAAAAAAAAAAAAAAGCTCCAATGAATAATTATACAAACAATCAATAAGAGAATAGGAATTTGGGGCAAAGAAAGAAAATATGAACACATGAACCAGAGGAGAAGTTTAGGAGAGAAACCAACAATGAGGTACATAAAAAGTCCACTGAAGAGCGCAGTAACAGTAGTTTTGTCATAAGAATCTACAGAACTGAGAAAGTATCTGATCTGAGTAGCACAGAGTGAATGGATTGGAAACAAAGATTGAGCCTCAGATCTTGTGGCTCAATACCAGAACATCTCACATTTGTGCCATCAGAGTCCAAGAGTTCCAAAAGGACAGAGAAGTATTTGAGGAATGAATGGATGAAACTCAGCCATCTGGCTAAGTATAATTCTTCAGACTGAAGATTCCTAACAGCATAAACTTTCAACAGTGTTGAAATAAAAATAAAATTTCTGAAAAGCAGCAGGGCGAAATCTCCTTACTGCACTCATGAAAACTAAACATATAAATCACAACTGAGATTTCATCAGAAACCACAAAGGGCAGAAGGGAGTAGCACAAAATGTTCCAATGTTGAATGTGTCAATATTGAGTACAAGAGATTGTCAAGCTAGATTCTTAAACCTAGTGAAACTATACCACAGAAATGAAGGTAAAATTAAGACATCTTTAGGTTAAAGAGAATTAAGATATTTTTTTCTCCTCAGAATTCCTTTACTAGATGAATCTCTAAAGAAAGTTCTTCAAATTAGAAAAGAATTTATAAACTTGGAGCATTAGAAATGTAGAAAGCGTGATGGAAAATATAGTAAGTGAGCAAGTATAAAAAATTCTTCCCTCATTGTTTTTCAAAGTTACATTTGAATTCAAAAGCAAATTATAATACTGCTAATATGTGTCTCAGTGTATTAGAAATACATATTTTAATACATTTATTAAGGGGATAATAAAGAGTTCTATATATTTATAATATATCTGTAGGTCATTTGAAGTGAGCTTGCAAAAGTTCAGTAAGCTTCATATGGCATTGTAATACTTAGCATAGTTCCAGAAAAACTGATACAAAAAGTTGTGTTCCAATTACTATGGACAAATAAAAGTAGAATTATTTTTTAAGTGACAAAGTAGCCTATGAGAAAATGGTAAGTGGTAATGGTACAGAAAAAAAATACAGAACAATAGAGTTTATGAACTTAAATCTTTACATATGCCAGGTACTGATGTCTGTATTCCTAGCTACTCAGGAGGCTGAGATCTGAGGATTGCGGTTCAAAACCAGCCTGGGCAGGAAAGTCTGTGAGACTCTAATCTCCATTTAACCACCAGAACATCAAGAGTGGTGCTGTGGCTCGAGTGAGTGGTAGAACACTTGCCTTGAGCTGAAATGCTGAGGGACAGTGCCCAGGCCCAGAATTCAAGCCCCACCACCGACCAGAAACAAAAAAAGAACAAACAAACAAATAAAAACCCTTACATATCAATAAGCACATTTCATTGTATTATTCACATCTCTTAATAGGTGAGACATAGATGAGAGCAATATTTTAAGTTACATATTTTAAAATGTAAGTTATACAAAGGAGTTACCATTTGACAAATCAGTTTACAACTAAAATGTATCTTGACCTATTTCACCATTTAGATGAGAACAATTTTAAAAATGACCAATGCATATTATGTCTAGAATTATTCATTTTAAATCAGATGATATAAGCTAAATAGAATTAAAGAATGAAGACATGCCATTCACATACAAACCAGAAAAACTTGGCATGCCTAGATTTGTCACATTTGGAAAGAGAAAATTACCATGGAAAAATTAGGGACATTAAATAGTTAAAGGGTTGGTTTGTCAAAAGAAAGTGTTAATCTTGAATGCATACTATCCACAAAAAGAGGGCTTTTTCAAACATGTGAAGGAAAAGCTATCTGAACTGAAAGGAAAAAGAACTGAATGGAGAACTGATCATCTCATATCAGAAGGAGAACCTCAATATATCCTTTTCAGTAACGGACAGAGTAAGAAGTCAGCGAGTATATCAAAGAAGTGCTATTACCCAGTGAGATGGAATTAACATCTACAGAATACTCCACTCAAGCAGAGTAGAATATACATTTTTAAAGACATATGTAATATTTACCAAGATACATTTTTATTTTATTAATTAATTTATTTTTGACAATCCTGAGCCTTGAACTCTGGGCCTGGGTGCTATCCTTAAGCCCTTTTGCTCAAAGCTAGCACTTCACCACTTGAACAGCACTACTCCTGGCTTTTTCTGTGATTAATTAGAGATAAAAGTCTTATAGACTTTCCTGCCTGGGCTGATTTTGAACTGTGATCCTCAGATCTCAGCCTCCTGAATAACTAGGATTACAGGTATGAGCCACCAGCATCCAGCAAGACAAATTCTTACATCATCAAATTGACCTTGATGCATTTTAAATAATTGAACTAATATGCAATATATCTCCAAATCCTAATGAAAGCATACTGGATTCCAGTGTGGCAGCACACATCTCTAATCATATCATTCAAGAGGCAGAGGCAGAAGGATTGTGAGTTTGAGGACAGCCTAGACCACATAGTGAGAGAGAGAAAAAAAGAGAGGAAGGGAGAAAGAAGAAGGGAGGGAGAGAGAAAGAGAGAGAGAGAGAGAGAGAGAGAGAGAGAGAGATCATATACTGGAGATTGGAAATAATATAAGGATAACAGGAAAGTTGACTTTTTAACACAAACACAGATTTGGTGCTTGCAACTTGTTTAACAGTTTATGACTAAGTCTATCACTTGTACCACCATTGAGTGTTTCTGTGCTAGAGTGTAAATGCTGTCCCTTTGTTCTGGAATCAATAAGCAAGTATTTAAAACACCCCAGGCATCAGTAGGAAGGAGGAAACAATTACTAGCCATGCCTGAAGTCTAAGCCATTTTCCCTTGATGATCCACTGTTTTATTTAATGTCCTTAGTCACCAGCCATGGTGTTCTCTCTCTAAGCTGCCTATGCTGGGTGTCAGGGAGTCAGCTGAGGACTCTTGAGACCATTCAGATGTTTGTGAGAACAAGAATGCAAAGTCCTGAGAGACTGGAAGTGCTGGCCTGGAGATGCTCATAGAGGTGGACAGAGGCTGAGCAAGGAGGGTCCCAGGGACTGATAAAGAAGGTGAAAACCACTTGTAGGCAGTAAGAATGACTAAGAACGTTTCAGCTCGGGACTGACTTTTAAATCACTCCTTTAGTGAGACAGGGGAGACAGCGGAGATCCAGGGACTCATGGGGGAGGGGGGGGGGGGAGATAATGCAGCCAAGGAATGAGGAAGTTGTCGGTGTCTCTACGTGTGCACAGGCAGCGTAGCCTGTAGATGGATCGTAACATAAAGGAATCACATTTCAATACCGTCTGCTTAGCAAAATAGCACAAGTTAAATGAGTGAAGACCTCACGTCCTATTTATATTGAACTCATTTCCAGCACTGGGAAGGGCAGGCCCACCGACGGCAGTGCCAGGTAGGGGGAGAGAGCTCAGGGGGTTTCCAGGTCGCCAGCAGGACATCTGATCCCGGATGCCCCTTGCCCTGCAGGCCAGGACAGGCACCCTGGTCAGCTCCTACCTTCTGAGCCTGGATGTGCGACTGCTCTATGTCCACCTGACACATATTGCCCAGGAAGGGCAGGCGCCGGGGTCCTGGCGGGTAGTTTTTAGGTCGCCAGTTCTTGAGGAAGTCAGCAAGGAACAGAAAGACCACGGCCCCCAGCAGGAGAGTCCGCAGATGGAGAGCCGCCCAGAAGGCAGCCACCAGGGAGCCCAGGCCCGCCAGCATAGCTGTGAAGTCTACGCTCTGCGTCTGAATGGCTGCAAGGTCCCGGCAGGTCCCTGTGGCTCGGATTGCCCGTCCTCCGCCACGCCCCTTCTCGAAGCCACGCCCCTCACTTCTGCCACGCCCCTCTCCTCTCCACCCCTCCAAGCTCCGCCCCCCTCCACCCCCGCCCCGCCCCTCTCCCTGCAGAGTCCCACACTAAGAATACACAAACACAGAACCTGCAGAAGAAGGAAGGAGGGAGGAGTGGGGAGGGGAAGGGGGAAGAAGAGGCTGCCAGCTAAGAGAGATTGTTTTGATCCACAGGAGAGTCCATCTTTCTCGTGGCAACTCCTGGGTGTATGATTTCCATGCATCTCAGCTATTTGAGTTGCTGTTTTCCAAGCACCCTCTCACCCAGTGACGGCAACAGGCCTAGTGAACATGACAGTAGCTCTTTACATAAATTATCCCCCTAGACAGTTATGCAGAAGACAATCTTGTTAGTCTTGTCTTAAGAACACAGAGGTTAGGGCTTCCTCAAGCATGTAACTACGACCTCAGCCCTCAAGAGGCTAAAGCAGGAGGAGGATTGACAGATCTACACCAGCCAGAGCTACAAAATGCTTTCCTCCCCAATAAACAGCCACATATTTAAAAATATGAATAGAAAAGAGAAACAAAGAAATGGGGAAAAAACAGTTCAATCATAAATAGTGTGGTGGTTCTGTTGGCAGAAATATCCCAAAAGGGGCTGTAATTTGAAATGGTTCATTTTTTGCAGGTGAGTCCTATGTCATTCATGGTACACAGGATGTCGCATTTTCACATTTGAGTCTTAAAAGCAAATGAGGTGCTTGCTCTTATACTCACATTTTAAAGAAGGAACTAGAAAGCTATATGTGTAAATATCTTTCAGAAAATTGCAGAGGCGGATGAGGGGGGACCTAGCCTCATATCTCTGAGCTCTTGTCTCTAACACTTCCCACATGTCCCTTTGGGGGGCCTTAATACAAATGCTGGCTCAGCTCAAACTTGTTTAAGGTCAAGGGGAGAACACTGGACACCAAGAATAGAGTTCTGGGGTTCCCTGTTCTAACAGGAAAGTCACACCGACTTTCCTGCTTGAGCTAGCTTTGAACTGTAATCCTCAGATCTCAGCCACCTAAGTAGCTAGGATTACAGGTGTGAACCACTGGTGCCCAACTTTTTTTTTTTTTGTGGTACTGGGTCTCACACTTGCTAGGCTGGTATAATACTGCAGAAAGATGCAAAAAACAAAACAACAAAAAACCCCTCGTTTCCATTTCTTGAAGTTCATTTTATATGATCATGTGCATATAGCTATTGAACCTTTGTGATCCTCTCCTAAGAATATCCTCCTTTAATCTCACTGTGAATGTCTAGAATTCACTATAAGTTATCATGTCCAAGTGTATTTTTTGTGTGTTTTACCATTCAGTGTGTTTTACTTGTAGGCACATTCTAGTTACAACAAATGAGGGAAACCATGCAGCTAATGTGTCTTTGGGTCTGGCTTACTCCACTTAATATAATTTTTTCCTTATGAAGATGCATTGGAAACAAAGATTGAGCCTCAGGAGTTGTGGCCCACCACCAAGACATCTCACACTTGTGCCATCAGAGCACAAGAGTCCCCAAAGGAAAGACAGTACAAATCTTCAGATTTAAAAATCCTCATAGCACAAATCCTCATTAGCATTGAAGTCTAGCACAATTAAATATGTAAAAACTGAAAGAAAAAAAGTCTGGAAAGCAGGCAGGGAGGAGAATTTCATTATTCATGAATACTGATATATCATCAGGAACCACAAAGGGCAGAAAGAGGTAGCACAAAATATTCAAATGTTAATTGCAAGAGATTGTCATCCTTGATTCTTGAACATATACTGCATAAATGAAGGTTAAATACATTCTTTTTTTGGGGGGGGGGGGGTTACGGTCGTGGGGCCTGAACCCTAGGCCTGGGCGCGGTCCCTCAGCTCTTCAGCTCAAGGCTGGCGCTCTACCACTTGAGCCACAGTGCCACTTCTGGCCTTTTTTCTTTTTGCTTATGTGGAGCTGAGGAATCGAACCCAGGGCCTCATGCATGCAAGGCAAGCACTCTACCACTGAGCCACCTTCCCAGCCCGTTAAAGACATTCTTTAAGTTAGAGAGACTTAAGGATTTAAGGATTCCCCCCCACCCCCCGCCTCAGAATTCCTTCACCAGTGGAATAACTAAAGAAAAGTTCTACTAAGTGCAGAGATTCATATTCCCCTTAAATTTTCCTATTGAAAATCATTGAAGTACCTACTTTTCCAAGGTTATTTCTTGTGAGCAAAACACAGGCCTATTAACTCAAGAGTTTTAGACTGCTTGGAATGCAGCAATATAATATATCTAATGGACATAGGTGGAATATGAGCTCAGCAAATCCTAAAGTAGAAAGATCTTTATATGAGAAGGTAAATTACTTTCTGGTAATACTATTGATAATACTTACTAGGCATACAAAAACTTGACTCCTAGGCCCTGGATCACCAATTCTTTTCCCAGGTGATCTTGAAAAACAAACAACTCTGTCTTATTCTAAGTTTGCTTTTGCTATGAAAGAAGGCACCAATGCCTTTTCTCTGTCAGATTGCGTAAGACTATATGTTTACAAATGAAGCCTGTAATTGAGAGGGTAATATAATTTCAAAAACAAAGCACCAGTGAGTCACTCACTCAATAATGAGCTCTATTCTTAGTTCTACAGCTAGTGGAGATAGGAGAAGGTTTTAGAACCTGTGGGGCTTTTGAAAGATAACCATCCAGACATCACTTGGCATAGAAAATACTTGTTCCTTTGGAGGCATAGCTATCTATAAAGATTCCTCTCATCATAGTTGCAGTAGACATTAGGTGAAACTTACTTGTAAAAGGCATAGAGGGACATATTTCTGGCATTTCTGCTTTTTATGGAATCAATGCCAGAAGAAGAAATAAGAGTAGCTATAGCAATTGAAAGGTACATCTGAGACTTTGTGCTGTGATACAACAAAAACTTGAAAGTATTGTAAACAGGAAGATGAGGGAAAGTTGCCATATGCTGTGTAACCTTTCATATAAGAGGTGACTTGTGCAATGTAAGGAAAGATGACGGGAACAGAAAGTTGATAGTGAAAGAGGATGTAATTAGAATCAGCCCAAACACACCCACAGCAGTGGGAAAATACCAGCCTTGCAATCACACCCAGAAAAACTGGAAAAACTTCTGGTTCTTCCCTTACTGAGACTTAATGTCATCAGCAACAAATGATGCTGCTTCCGGACACTAAAGCATGGTTTTCAGTTTAGAAAAGTAAATCCTCATGCACCTCACCCCATCTATGTTGTTTAAAGTAGATGGCACTTTTTACACATGTTGTGAGAGTGGTATGAGAGTGTTAGAAAGAGCAAAGCTGAGTTAAAAAAATACTTTATTTATTGTTACTATAAAAGCGATGTACAGTTCTACAAGTAACATAAAGAGTATATTTCGTTTTGGACAATGTTACCCTTTTCCTCACTTTCTCCCAGTTTTCCCCTTCTATCTTTACCTACAAGTTGTATAGTTCATTTTCAATATAGCATCCAGTGAGTACCACTGCTGCATTTGTTAACCTTTGGTCCCTCCATTCCTGTGCCTCCTCTTACACTCTCAAAGACATATAAATGAGCGAATAGAACAAAAAGAAAAAGAAAACATAAACCACAAAAGAAAAAAATAAACCCCTTGTTTCCATTTCCTGGAGTTCATTTTGATAAATATTATTTTGTATGATCAAATGCACATAGACATTGTGCCTTTCTGCTCCTCTCCTAAGTATCCTCCCTTAGTCTCACCACGTCAATGCCTAGAAACCTGTACAATTTATATGTCCCAGTGTAGTTTAGATCTAGCTTCCACATATGAGAGAAAACATGTGTTATTTGTCTCTCTTAATATGAGCTGTTCTAAGTCCATCCATTTTCCAACAAATGACATAATATTATTCTTTCTAGTGGCTGTGTAAAATGCCATGGTGTCTAGGAACCACATTTTTAGGCTCCATATATCTATTTTAGGGCATCTGGACTATTCCCATAACTTGGCTATTGTAAGTAGTGCAGCAGTGAACAGGGATGTACAGGGGTCTTTATGGAATCGTCGTTTGTGATATTCTGGGTAGATGCCCAGGAGTGGCACAGCTAGGTTGTATTGAAGATCTAGGTTTAGTTTTTTATTTAGTTTAGTTTTTTTTTTTTTTTGAAACTCCAGATCGCTGTCCAGAGTGGTTTACTTTCCCACTGACAGTGCAATAGGGCTTCTTTTCTCCCACATCCCACCAACATTTGTTTTTTTTCGAGTACACAACATTGGCCAATCTAACCAGGGTGAGATGGAATCTGACTTGTTTTGATTTGCATTTCTTTTATGGCCAGTGATGATGAGCATTTCCTCATGTGTCTCTTTGTGGTTCTTACCTCTTCTTCTGAAAAGTCTCTCCTTACAACGCTGGTGTTTTGGTAAATATGTTTCACATGGAGACCTGGTTCTGCCACCTGAGTTTTATGGATTTACCATTTAGATCTGGCTATCAGTAGTTTCCTCGTGTCTGAACTGGAGATGCTAATGTGATCCTTGGTAGGTTGCACTGGGACTTAGGATCTCAGGGAGCCTCCTACCACTGATTTGACAATTTTCTAACTAACCATACCTTTTCCCAAGTGGCTGACTAGGAAACAATAGTTTTCTATGCTGCTGAATCTACTCTCCTGTCTTTCAAGTTGCATACTGAAGGAGAGATGCCAGGTCTGGCCAGCACCATATTGACTACATGGTGAATGGCAGGGTCTGGCATCTCATCTTCATGCTGTGGAAAGGTGATGACCTGCCTCCCACGGGATGGGCGTGCCCAGATCTCTGGAGACAGTGGTGGGGCACTTGGCTGGTAGGTTTCTGAACTTGCCAGTCCAGTGCCTGGGACTGGGAGTGTCCTATGACCCTGACCCCTGCCCTGACCCTATTTAGGCTCAGGGGTGC